GTGGACCGTCGAACTAGAAAGCGCCGCGACTGCCAAAATGGCTGCTGGTACACCGGCGTCGGAAACTTATATATCGCCAGAGAAATTCCGAAGTCGCGCCATATGTCGCCCACGCACTCTGGGAGGCCGGGATTCGGGACAGAGACGCAAATCAGGGCCGGCGCACGGGCGACGCACTGAACGAAACTAAGGGGGGGGGGTGTCGCTTCACTGGGCCTTAACAGTCTGACTGTTTGGCCTCGCGCCGCGAGCGACCCGCGCGCGTCGCCGGGGCCCTCTCGGGGCGACCAGCGCGCGTCGCGGGAATTCCGCGCTGCGCTCTGCCCAGAGCCTCGCTCGCCCCTGTCGTCGCTCTGCCCAGCGGCCACGGCCTCGCCCGCTATCAGCCAGCCAGCCAGCTAGCTCCACCCGCTCCGCGCAGCGGACGACCCGCGCGCGTCGCCGGGACCCCTCCGGGGCGACCAACGCGCCTCGCGGGGACTCCGTGCGGCGCCGCGCCCGCAGCCTTGGACATGGGCGTGCACGGGCAAAGAGGAAGAAAAATAACGGGAAGGAAGCGGGCGCGATCCTCGTGAGGAGCGTGCCGACATGGGCGTCGCGGCGTGTGGGCGCTGCTGTCGGGGGGCCAGGGGAAGCTTTCTGCGGCGGCTACGCTCAGTGCCACGAGTATTCGGGGACAGGCATACGTGAACCATTCACACTCATATATATATACATACATACATACACATACATATATATATATATGTATATATATATATGTATGTATGTATATGTATGTATATATACACATATATATATATACACACTATGTATACTTATATAGGCACCATGCGTGGCTATGCTCGCAATCGTGCAAATGTACTCACTCGCACGCAGACCATTCACGCTCATACTCACTCGCGCTCAGACTCACCCGCGCTCAGTCGTTCGTGTTGTGTACCCCGCCGCGCAATTCGGCGCACCCCTCATACAGTTCGTGGCCCCATAAGGAAAGCCACCGAAAAAGATATTCACAATTGCGGTACTCACAACTGCATATGGTCGGGTCCTTCGCCGGGCTATTTTGTTCCTCAGCGGTGTTCACGATGTTTCTCGTAGGTTTCTTAAGGAGAAAAAACCAGATGGGTTCGGATGCTTTTCAAAAGGTTCTGGGCCCGACACTTGAAAACAATACCATTTCGGAAGAACCCCTCGGACCCCCCCAGGGGCCCACACATAAAAACAATTCGATGTTTGAAAATCATACAAAAACCCTCCAACTCGAATTTTATTTATTTATCTATATCTATACATATATATATGTATATACATATATATGTATGTAAAAGTATCCCCGCAAAGCGACCTAACAGCGATGTGTAGGAGCACATCTGGAAGCATTCCTCTTCAGATTCAGATGAAAATCCAGTTGGATAATTCTGCTGTTCTCGCAGTCGTAGTCGCATTCGCGATGACAGTCGCAGTGGCAACGGCAGTCGCAGTCACAGCCTCAGCCTGAGCCTGCCTCAGCCTCAGCCTCAGCCTGCCTCAGTCTCAGCCTGCCTCAGCCTCAGCCTCAGCCTGCCTCAGCCTCAGCCTCAGCATCAGTCTGCCTTCAGCCTCGGCCTCAGCCTCCGCCTGCCTCAGTCTCACCCTGCATCAGCCTCAGCCTCAGCCTCAGCCTGCCTCTGCCTCAGCCTCAGCCTGCTTCAGCCTCAGCCTCAGTCTGCCGTCGGCCTCGGCCTCAGCCTGCCTCAGCCTCAGCCTGCCTCAGCATCAGCCTGCCTCAGCCTCAGCCTCAGCCTCAGCCTGCCTCAGCCTCTGCCTCAGCCTGCTTCAGCCTCAGCCTCAGTCTGCCTTCAGCCTCGGCCTCAGCCTCAGCCTGCATCAGCCTCAGCCTGCATCAGCCTCAGCCTCGGCCTCGGCCTCAGCCTCAGCCTGCTTCAGCCTCAGCATCAGTCTGCCTTTAGCCTCGGCCTGCCTCAGCCTCAGCCTGCATCAGCCTCAGCCTCAGCCTCAGCCTGCCTCAGCATCAGCCTGCCTCAGCCTCAGCCTCAGCCTGCCTCAGCCTCAGCCTCAGCCTTCAGCCTCAGCCTCAGCCTCAGCCTCAGCCTGCTCAGCCTCAGCCTGCATCAGCCTCAGCCTCAGCCTCAGCCTGCCTCAGCATCAGCCTGCCTCAGCCTCAGCCTCAGCCTGCCTCAGCCTCAGCCTCAGCCTGCTTCAGCCTCAGCCTCAGTCTGCCTTCAGCCTCGGCCTCAGCCTCAGCCTGCCTCAGCCTCAGCCTGCATCAGCCTCAGCCTCAGCCTCAGCCTGCCTCAGCATCAGCCTGCCTCAGCCTCAGCCTCAGCCTGCCTCAGCCTCAGCCTCAGCCTCCTGCTTCAGCCTCAGCCTCAGTCTGCCTTCAGCCTCGGCCTCAGCCTCAGCCTGCCTCAGCCTCAGCCTGCATCAGCCTCAGCCTCAGCCTCAGCCTGCCTCAGCATCAGCCTGCCTCAGCCTCAGCCTCAGCCTGCCTCAGCCTCAGCCTCAGCCTGCTTCAGCCTCAGCCTCAGTCTGCCTTCAGCCTCGGCCTCAGCCTCAGCCTGCCTCAGCCTCAGCCTGCCTCAGCCTCAGCATTCAAAATGTGGCCCGGGAATGGAGTTCTGGGAACCCGAAGAACACGAAGTGGCCTACAATTGGCTCCGGGCATTCAAAATCATGCCCAGGAATGGAACTCTGGGAACTCGAAGACAACGAAGTGGCCTACAGTTGGCTCCGGGCATTCAAAATCATTCCCAGGAATGGAGTTTTGGGAACTTGAAGATCACGAAGTGGCCTACAGTTGGCTCCGGGCATTCAAAATCATGCCCAGGAATGGAGCTCTGGGAACTCAAAAGACAAGAAGTGGCCTACGGTTGGCTCCGGGCATTCAAAATCATGCCCAGGAATGGAGTTCTGGTAACTCGAAGACCACGAAGTGCGTTACTGTTGGCTAAAAAAGGAGTCCCCGGTTTCCTGGGGCACCCCCGGGGCACCCTGTCCGGATCCCGCCCAGACCCCCCTGGGGAGTCAAGATGCTCTCTTTTGACCCTACTAGAAACCTATCAGTCTTCGCTCTTAGGTAAAAATCGTCGGCCCCGCAAACGGAAACAATGCCTATACGACCACCCTTCGGGTGATAAGGAAGTGGCGGGGGGAACCAATATCTGACTCCATCGGTCCCACTATCGATCTCACTCAGCGGGACATCACGGGACACTTGTTGATTTCACTATCGATCTCACTCAATAGACACCACGGGACACCACGGGACACCGCGGGACACCGCGGGGCACCTCTCGATCTCACTATCGGTCTCACTATCGATCTCACTATCGATCTCACTCAACGGGACACCATAGGACACCACGGGCCACCACGGGACACCTCGGGACACCACATCGATCTCACTATCGATCTCACTCAACGGGATACCACGGGACACTATGGGATACCTTGGGATACTGCCCCAATACCAGGCGGAAGAAGCACGGCCCGGCAAAGCACCGCACAACGCAAGCGGGAAGCGGACGCGGGTCGGCCAGCGCGCGGAAGACCAGCCGAGCGAGGGCGTCCCCGCGGCCAGCCGCGGGGTCGTTTCCAGCGCAAGCGGATTTGTGCTGAGCAATAACTCCGCTACTGGTGGCGTCCGGGGGGCCCCCGCTCTCGCGCTGGACCGGCCGCCCGAGGCTGGAGGGCCACGGGCGCGGCGCTGCAGGAGAGGACCAGAGTAACCCACGACGCATCAACGATGTTGCAGTGAACGCTCCTTCCAAGTTCCCCCTTCGCAAGTCCCTACAAGAATTGATCCTCATTGCGAGAAGTGCCACGTTGGAAAACAACCGGCTGAGAATCCTCGATCGTTACAAGACAGACGTCCTGGGACTGCAGCGCCGCGAATCAGCGTGACAACTGCGTCCTGACAACCCCAAGCCGTGCCATAACACAGCTCCAGGAGCTTCAACACTGCGAGTCAACGTGACTGTTGCGTCCTGAAAATCTTAAATTGCACCAAAAAGCACTCCTGGGACTTCAACTGTGCGATTCCCTAATCGGTTGCAAACTTTCAAGACGATGTCCGTGACGCTCAGGCGACAACAGCACGTTGAAAACGGGCGGCCCTCCATCCTCGAATCGACTGCAATTATTTCAAATACTGGCCGCGACGCTAAACCGTAAGCCGCATGTTGAAAACGGGGCACCCTCATGTTTGAAGCTGTTGCGAACTAGTGAAGCGAGTGAGCGGGACGCTGAAACGACAACCGCATTTTGGAAACGTGCTGCCTTTCCTCCTTGCAGCTGCGGCAAGCTCTGCGGGGCGCTGAGGTGCGAGCAACCTTTTGAAAACGGGCCGCCCTCCATCCTTGAAGCTGGGCATGTCGAGTGTCCAGATCCCAGACGGCGAAAGAAGCCTACGGGGAAACGCTCGGCCCGCCCTACCGAGCGACAGGGGGGAGCTGTTTATAAGGAAAAGGGATTGAGGAGGAGGAGGAGGAGGAGGAGGAGTAGGAGGAGGAGGAGGAGAAGGAGGGGGAGGAAGAGGGAGGACTGCCCCCCTGTATTCTCGTTAAGTTAATGTTTGAGGAGTCGGTATTCGACTCCACCTCCTCCACTTGGCGGCAGGCACCGTTACTCTGCGCCCTTCTAGGCACTCTGCATTTCTGCTACTTAAAGCCCTCTCTTACCGCACGAGCCTCTCGCCTAGTTCACAATCGTTCGCCATATTGACTTAGTCTGACTTTTTGGCACGCGATGAACGCTACAGCCTCGAGCTATCGATATGCAAACGGGATGGTGGGGGATGGTGGGGGAGGTGGAGGGGGAGGAGGCAGAGAGAGGGAGGAAGAGGAGAAAAAAGGATGGACGAGGAGGGAGGGAGAGGAACGCCGCGGGTAGGGGAGAGACGGGAGGAGGGATGCGAGGAGGGGGGAGGGACGGGAGGGAGGGGGAGGAAAAGGGATGGGGTGAAGGAGGGAGGGAGGGAGAAAGGGCAGACCCAGCGCCTAGCTGCGCCATCGATGGGCTGCGCGGGCGCTGCGGGCCAGGCGGCGCGGCGAGCCACGGGCTGGCGGCGGGCGCTGGCTGGCGGCACACCCTGCGGCCACCGGCACCGAATTCTGGGCCTGGAAACTTTGAAAAATCATGGTCATACAATCGGCGGCGAAACCGGGGGGGGGGAAGTGAGAAGAGCCGGACCTTCTCAGAAGGCTCGAACATCCACGGGCCAGCTGAGAAAAGTTCCCTACCTAGGCTCTGCCTAGAATGGTTCTTACTCTCTTTCTTAAAGGGGCCGGGCAGTGCACACCGCCCCGGGCGGTTCCCCCAGTATCTGCCCCGCGGTTCCCCCAGTTACGTCCCCTTAGCTTAGCGTTGCTTATCTCATCTTAGTTTAGCCTAGCTTAACTTAGCTTAGCTTAGCTTTGCCGCGCCTAGCTTAGCTTAGCTTAGCGTAGATTAGCTTAGCCTAGCCTAGCCTAGCTTAGCTTAGCATAACTTAGTTTACCTTAGCGCAGCATAGCGCAGCGCAGCATTTGCACAGCATAGCATCGCATAGCCAAGCATAGCATAGCATAGCTCAGCATAGCATATCATAACATAGCATAGCTCAGCATATCATAGCATAGCATAGCATATCATAGCGTTGTTTAGCAGATCACAGCGCAGCATAGCATAGCACAGCACAGCACAGCACAGCATAACATAGCGCAGCATAGCATAGGTGTAGATGTTTATGTAGATGTAGGTGTAGATGTAGATGCAGATGTGATTATCGCTGTTGATGTTGAGGTAGATGTAGATACAGGTGTATATGTTAATGTAGCTGTCGGTGTAGATGTAGATGTTGCTTTCCCAGATGCTCCAACTCCTAGGTAGGGTCGCACTGGGATAATTTATGAGCCCTCCCCGAAGACAGAGAACACCTCTCAGAAGGCTGGAGGGCTTCTGAAAAGCCCCGCCGCCTTCGGAGAACGCCTTCTACTTCTCATTTCCCCCCACTCGCTCGCAGCCGATACAAGCGCGGTAGAAAATCCGTCGCAGTCATAAGAGCGAGCCCGGCGCACACCGCAGGGAGAGGAGGGATGACGAGCGAAGGGACGGAGGGGCACACGACGGAGGAGGAGCGGCGAGAGCGAGGAAGGGACGAACAACACAGGGGGACGACCAAGGACACGCGAGCAGGGGAAAGAGCGAAGCGCGGCCAGAGCTCGGATGGACTCGAAGCCCCCAAAAGTGCACGTAATACTGCAGGGGCCCCCTGGGCACCCAAAGTCTTACAAAAACGCACAGAGGAGAGGAGGAGGAGGAGGAGGAGGAGGCGGCGGAGGAGGAGGAGGGGCAGGAGCAGGAGGAGAAGGAGCAGGAGGAGGAGGAGGAGGAGGAGGAGGAGAGAGGCGGCGGAGGAGGAGGAGGAGCAGGAGGAGGAGGGGAGAGAGGAGGAGGAGGAGGAGGGAGACGAGGAGGAGGAGGAGGAGGAGGAGGAGGAGAAGGAGGAGGGGAACACGGGGGTCAAGACCTGGCTCTCATCTCGAGGAGACGAGCGAGCCACCGTCGCGCCCTGTCCTTCTTGCGGCACCTGGCCCGCCCCACGTGGCAGCCTGCCTCCTGGCTCGCCCCGGCTCGCCATCGCTCGGACGTCCATTCCCTGTGTTTTTCGGCTTCGTGCGGGAGGAGGAGGAGGAGCAGCAGGAGGAGGAGGAGGAGGAGGAGGAGGAGGAGGAGGAGGGAGGAGGAGGAGGAGGAGGAGGAGGAGGAGGAGGCGAGGAGGAGGAGGAGGAGGAGGGGGAGGATTCCCCCCCTCGCTCGCCGCCGAGCTTCCCCACCGGCGAAGCGCGGCGGCGCGGCGGCGGCGGGGCGGGCGCGCTGCCGGATTCACCGCGGTGTTCATCGGCAGGAGCCCCGCGCCTCGGGTTTCCTGTCCATTCGGGTTTTCGTCGAATGATCAAGGATGCTCCTCGATGGCCCTCGCCGAAGGAAAGATGCACACGTCCGAGCGATGCCAAGCCAGGTGAGCAGCGTGGTCTGTCTTCCTCTCGGCTCACGCTCAGGCCACTCCCTGCCGCTCGCCCCTCCTGTCGCGAGGCGGTCGGCGCGCCTGCACCGCCGATGCGCCGACGTCTGCGGCGCACCCCTCGGGGAGCGAGGCCGCGCAAGCCGCTGCCCTGCCCGCTGCCGCTGCGGCTGCCGCTGCGACGTCATCGGCGTTGCTGGCGACGGGCGAACCCGGCTGCTCGCACGGCGAGGGGGTCTGCGGTCGCGGGCCGCTCCTGGGCAGTGGTGGCGCCTGCGCTGATGGTGACCACTCTGGCCATCGCTCGGACGTCCATTCCCTGTGTTTTTTTCGGTTTCGTGCGTGGTTCAAGGATGCTTCTCGATGGTCCTCGCCGAGAAAAAAACGCGCACGTCCGAGCGATGCCAGGCACTCCGACGGCAACACTGAAGTGGAGAGCGCAATCCCAAGGCATCGACGCTGCCGTGAAGCGAAGAAGGCGGCGGCCTCTTCCCTGGGGCTGGGGCCAGGGGCCGCGGGCACCTCGACGGAGTCTGCCTCCGCTTCGACGTCGGCGAGGACTGGCGCAGGCGTGGAGCAGAAGTCCCGCAGCTCTGTGAGACGTGCCGTGCCTGGCGGCTACGACTGGCGGGGAGCACAGCGGCGTGTCTGCGGCGTTGGAGGATCGCGACCCCGATACGGAGCACGATGCGAATCCAGAGTGGGCACGCCTTCAGCACCCTACCGGGCGGGCCTCTGGTTGGAATGCGCCCTGTTGAAGGCTCTCTGGAGTGTCGAAGTGATTGTGTGATGAGTCTGGTGAGCCGCTTTGAAATCCTGATTGCTATTCGAATCCCCATTCTTGTAAAAGACCTGCCCTCCATCTCTTTCAATTTTTTCAAGCGAATGTGCGCGGCGCCACGGCGGTAGCGACATTTTGGAAAAGACCCACCCTCCGTCCGTGAAGCTGTTGCAAGCTTTTAGAACGAATGTGCGCGGCGCTGAGGCGAGAACCACATTTTGGAAAAGACCGGCCATACATCCGTGAAGCTCTTACAAACTGCTTACAATAAGATGCGCGGCGCTAAGGCGAGAACCACATTATGACAAACGTCCAACAGTCGCACGGGCGCATGGCGGCCTCTTTCCGAACTACTTATCTCGCTTGAACACTTTCTCGAGCTGTCCCATCAGATGACAGCGGCTCCTTTTCAACATTGGGTTCTCGACAGAGTAGCACGCACACAGGGCGCTCATTGTTCAAGGCGGGGCTCCCAAGAGTGAACAAGAATTCCTGAAGGAACTTGTGATGGGAGGATGTTCTGCATCATCAATTATGCGTCTCAGACGTGCCCTAGCCCTCCAAAGAACGTCCGAACACATAGATTATTCTCCTCATCCTCATCATCCCCCCGCTGCCGCGCAAAGCTCTGCAGCGATCCCTGGTCCACGGCGAGCGCCGCTTGGCGCCCTAGGGGGGCGGCCGCCGCGCGCGACGCGGGCCCCACTGGCAGCCACCGCTAGGACGTCGTTTCCAATTCGAGGAGAGGGGAGGAGGGAAGGTCCGAACTACCAGCCTCGTGATCCTCCTCCGCCTCCGGCTCCTCCTCCTCCTCCTCCTCCTCCTCCTCCTCCTCCTCCTCCTCCTCCTCCTCCTCCTCCTCCTCCTCCTCTCTCCTCTCCTCCTCCTCCTCCTCTCCTCCTCCTCCTCCTCCTCTCCTCCTCCTCCTCCCCCTCCCCCTCCCTCCTCCCTCTCCTCCTCCTCCCTCCTCCTCCTCCTCCCCTCCTCCTCTCCTCCTCCTCTCCTCCTCCTCTCCTCCTCCTCCTCCTCCTCCCTCCTCCCCCTTCTCCCGAAAACATCCCCAAACCTCGAACCTCGGACCTCGGAGCCCATCGTCGTCGTTGCCGCCTTCGCCGTCGCCAGGGCCGCCGCCGCCGTGGCGCCACCTCCGCCGCCGCCGCCGCTTCGGGGCTCGCGGATGGTAATCCAAAGGATGTTTGTTGACGTATGTTTTCGAGATCTCTTATCAAGCAGCGAGTGCCAGAAAATTTGCCCAAATGGTGAAATACACACTATTACGGTTCCTTCTTTCTTTCCTCATCTCATAGCATTTGGGCGCCGGCGTCGTCGTCGCCTGCGGCTTCGCCGGTGGCGTCAACGTCGCCAGCGTCGTCGGCGGGGTCGCTGGCTTCGTCGGCGTCAGTGGCGTCGGCGTCGGCGGCGTCGTCAGAGGCGTCGTCGGCGGCGTCGGCGTCGTCGGCTGCGTCGCCCCTAAAAGGCGCCCGCCTGCCCGGCGTTCGGCTGCAGAACGAGCCGCTGCGTGACAACCACGAGCGACTGGGGGTCGTCGGGCTCGTGGGCGGCCGAGGCGCCTTTCGGGATGCCGCCGCGGGCGCGTCAGTCGGCGTCGTCGTCGTCGTTGTTGTCGACGCGTCACAGTAATCGTCGTAATCGTCGCCGTCGTTCGAGGTCGTTGCCATTGTTGGCATCGTCCCCGTCGTCATAGCCGTCGTCGAGGCCGGGGCAAGAGGAGAAGCAGCGGGTTGAAGAAGAGGAGGAGGATCGGGGCGCGTCGAGCATCCATGCTTTTGATAAGCTTGTGTGCTTTATTGGGGCCTCCGGAGGTGTCCTGGAACGGGCCAAGCTAGACTCTAGACATTTGCGCATCTGTGAGACGGAGGAGCAGAACGACGAGGGCGAGGATCAGGAGGAGGGCGAGGGAAAACGTGACGACAAGGAGGGGAAGGAGGAGGACGACGACGCCGCAGAGAAGGAAGATGACGCCGACGCACACGAAGACGACGTCGACGAAGACGACGACGATGACGGAAACGATGACGACGACGACGACCTCGACCTCGACGCATAGAACGACAACGACAACACGACGACGAATTCACGACAACGACAGCAACAACGACGACGAACATAACGACGACGACGGCAACGGCGACGACGACCCGCGCGGTCGCGGACCGTTCATGTCAGTGCCAGCCGTGGCGGCGTTGGTCCGGTCCAGGGAGGCCGTGACGTCGTTGGTGGTGAGCTTCGCCCGGAGGCGCGGTGGGCCCTCTGCCGCGGGCCGCGAGCGAGAGCGAGGGGCTTCGGGCCAAGGCGATGGTGCCGATCCGAGGGGCAACGTGACGTGGGGAGAGACGGGCGCGCTGCCTGAGGGATTCGAGGCTCGAGCGGCGTTTTCGTCCAGTCTCGGCGGTTTTCTTGACTCGGCGCGTCTCCCGGCAGCTGCGCCCCGACGCCAGCGCCCCAGGGGTGCCAAGGCCGTCCCGCACGGCCGTCAGAGGCCTGCGCTGTGGCCCGCACGCCCCAAACTTGCAGGAGCCTCCGATAGGCAAGGGCTCCCAACTTCGCACCTGTCGCTGCGCGAAGCGCGAAGCGCGAATGACTTCGCGCTCGTGCGCCGCCCCCAGAGGGGGGGAAGAGGGGGACGAGGAGGAGGGGGAGAGGGAACGAGGACCGCGAAGCGCGAATCACTTCGCGCCCTCGAGGGCGCCCTTGGAGAAGGGGGGGGCACCGGCTCCAGGAGGGGAACACTCGCCATCGCTCGGACGTCCATTCCCTGTGTTTTTTTCGGTCTCGTGCGTGGCTTTTTCGCCAGATGATCCAGGATGCTCCTCGAGGGCCCTCGCCGAAGGAAAGATGCACACGTCCGAGCGATGCCAGGCCAGGTGACAGCGGGGAGCAGCAGCCACCCGCTGCGCGGGGGAGGGAGGCCCACGTCCGTGCTGCTTCTGCTCCCGCCCCCCCCCCCCCCCGCCGCCCCCCGCGTCGCCCCCCGACGGCGGGGAGCAGCGGCGGCCCGCTGAGGCGAGGGGGGAGGGAGGCCCACGGCCGTGCTGCTTCCGCTCCGCGTGTGCTCGGCCGCAGGCCCCGCTCTGAAGGAAGGGTGGCGGTGGAGGAGAGGCAAGGCGAGGAGCGCTTCCCCTGGCGGCTCTCGCCCCAGGGCGAGGCCTTAGGACGGGGAGCTGTATCCCCAAAGGGGGCTATCGCAAGACGAGGGGCTTCTCCTCCAGGGCTCCGCGCCCCTGGACGAGGAAAACGGCATGACCATAAACTGTCGGACTTCCGCGCGTTTGTGCGGAGCGCGCGGAGCGCGACAAGGGGCTCCCCTAGCGCCGCCATGGGGCTCCCCGAGCGCCGATCCGGGAAGTCCGCACGGACCTCCGAAAGTTTACGTCACATCCCGCATCTGCGGATAAGCGCGAGGGTGCGGATGCATGGCGCAGGTAGGTCGCGAGGAGGAGGAGGACGACAACAGGGACAGAGACCTTCCCTGACGCCCTTGGCGCGGGGGAGCGCTGGAGGGCAGGAGCCCTCGCTAACGCCCTTCTCCCATGCAACCCCACCCACGCAGCACGACTACAACAACGGACCAGTTCAAATCAAACAACCCTCTCGCTGTCTTTAGACAGCGAGAGAACTCGCTTCGCTTGCACGCGCGTGTTTGCGCAAGCTAACGAGCTTCCTTACTACAGAATCCTGTAATCAAGAATTCCAACTAAAGAGCCCTTAATAAGGATTCCTCAAGGAAGAACCCTTGGTAAAGAATCCGGGCCAAAGAACCCCATTCAAGAACTGATTACTAAATAAACCTTGGGAAACAATATGTACTAAAGAGTCCTTGCGGGAGAACCTTTGCCAAACAATCCTTGCTGGCGAACCTCTCGTAACTAGACCATGCTAAAGGATCTATCGCAAGGAATCCGTACTAAGGAGTCGTCACTGAAGATTCCTTGTTGACCCTGAAAACGATGAATTCTTAGCAGGGAGCCCTTACAAAATAACTATTAGTACGGATCCCTTCATAACGGAGCATTACCAAACAACGTGCTGAACAACATCTGTAAGGAGTCCTTCGGAACAAGTCTGTACGGTCTTGCACGGAATCCATGCAACAAACCCTGCGCACGAAAAACGTAAGGACTTGGATCCATACTGAAAAACCCTTGGTGGATAAACTGGCAGAGCGAGATCACACTAACCATAACCTTCGTACACTACACCAGAGTCTGCTGTAGTGTACTTCTGGTGACCTGAAGAGAAACCCCACCAAACAGCCCTCAAAAGTGGGGGCAGCTTCACACTTCGCGCCTCCCCCCCCAGGGATGGCGAGGTCCTGTTTGGACCTGCGCGGGGCCCCACTGAGCTGGCTCCCCCAGCAGCCCTCGAAAGTAGCGATAATATGCCACTTCGCAGCCCCCCCCCCGAGATGGCGAGGTCCCGTTTGGGTGTGCGTGGGGAACCACTGTGCTGGCACCCCCAGCAGCCTCGAAAAGGGCGACAGTTTCACACTTCGCAGCCCCCCAAGGATTGCGAGGGCCTGTTTGCGTCTGCGCGGGGCAAAAATGCGCAAGACCCCCCAGCAGCCCTCAATCGCGGCGACAATTTCACACTTCGCAGCCCCCCCTCCCAGGGATGGCGAAGTCCCGTCTGGGTCTGCGTGGGACCCCACTGCGCTGACTCCCCCAACAGCCATCGAAACCGGCGACAATTTCACACTTCGCAGCCCCCCCAAGGATGGCGAGGCCCCGTTTGGGTTTACGTGGGGCCCCACTGTGTTGGCTTCCCCAGCGGCCTTCGAAAGTGGCTGCAGCTTCACACTTCGCAGCCTCTGGAAGATGGCGAAGTCCCTTTTGGAGTTGCGTGAGGCCCTGCTGTGCCGGCCCCCCCGGCAGCCCTTCACAATTAAAGGGTTGACCCCGTGCCCCTTATTTTCCCCCCTCCCCCTGGACGGGGCGTTTCGCGACGCGCTGGTGCGTCCGAATCGGCCTCGGCGACGAGGCACAAATCATTGATTTTACCAACAAAACTTTTGGCCACATGTTGGCCTCCTCGGGAGGCCGCTAATGTACTATGACCCATCCTTTGGTCGATCCCCTCCGAGATGGTCCCCATCACTATCAGCATCGTCATCGTCATCGTCATCTGCATCATCCTCATCATCCTCATCCTCATCATCATCATCCTCATCATCATCATCATCATCAACAACAACAACATCATCCACCTAGTCCTCCTCCTCCTCATCCCCATCCTCCTCATTCTCCTCGTCTTCGTCCTCCTCCTTCTCCTCCTCCTCCTTCTCGGGTACCTCCATCCTCTTGACGGCTCCCCAGCCTTTGTTCCACGGCGTGTTCCTCCACATGCCGGATCAAAGCAACTCGCGTGGGCATTGTTTCAGGACGGGCTGGTGGGGTTCCGCAGAGCGTTTAGAATTGCCACGAAGAGTCGAGCGAGGGCGCGATTCCTTAGTGAACTGGGAGGAAGTCTCGACTCTGAACCCTCGTCGTTGGGTTCTCTCTTGTGAACAATGATTATTGTCGATGTCCCCTCCGGTGCACCTTGTGTTTTTCAATTGAAGTGCCCTTCCCAGGGGTCGCACCCTGTCTTTACAAGAATTAAACAATCATGTGAATCAGATTGCGTTGCTGCCCTTCGTTTGCAACAGCAGCGTCTCCCGCCTGATACTCCTCCACAAATAATTCACACATTTTCCTCGCTCGCTCGACCCTAGGAGCCGCGGTCGCAGCCAGGAGGCCGGGTCTGCCCGCGCAAAATGCGCATTCCCGCGCCCCCGGAATCGACATCCAAGGCGGGCGGGCTGGGGTCGCAGCCCTGTTCGCGCAAAAATGCGCTGTCACGCGCCGCCGGCATCGACATCCAGGGCGGGTTGGTTCGGGGAGCGGCGGTCGCCTTTCACAACCACTTCCCCGCTTTGTCTTTTCTTTTGCTTCGCTCGTCGAGGCCGCGCCGAAGCCGAAGCCCTTCGCGTGGCCGTGGAAGGTTTCGCGCCCGCGGTGCCGGCTTCGTCCGAGCGGGCGCCCTTGGGTGCCCCCTTCGGGCCTGGGCCGCTCCGTGGAGCGAGCTGCTGCTCGGCTCGGACCTCAGTCCGCATGCTGTACTTTTCCGACCTCTCGACGAGGCATGGCCCCTCCTCCTCGAACAACTCGAGGAAGCGGGGCCGGCTCCAGTTCCCATCCGCGACCGACTGCTCGATGGCCCTCAAGTGCTGGGTTGCGAAATCCATGGCTCTCTTGACCTCGTTGCGGCCGAGCAAGTCCAGAATCTAGCACATGAGGCGCGTCGTTCGCGTTGCGCTTCGAGAGGGGCGGCTGTTGCGTGGACAACACCCTGAGGTGGTGCGCCGAGGCGACCGCCAGCGCGGCCCGCCTCTCCCCCAGGAGCAACCTTGCTGGCCATCTTCCAATCTGCCTTGGTTCTCGCGCGCGAAGCGCATCAACAGCCCTGGCGCGGTGCTCGAGCGGCTGCCTGGGGTCGAGGCGTTGTGAAAACCGCCTCGTCGCTGTCGCTGCAGCTAGAGCGCGCCCGCGCGCGGCGGCGGCACCTGCGGGATCCGTCCCGGGATCGCTCTCTCGGGCCCTGCTCCCGGCCGCGCTCGCGGCGGCGCGGGCTGGGCTCCTCCCCGCGGCGCGGGCTCGTTGCCTCGCGGCGGCGCGGGCTGCGCCGCCCCCCGCGGCGCGGGCTCGGCCCCTCGCAGCGCCGTGCGCTGCGCGCCTCCCTGCGGCGGGGGCTCGCAAGGATCCGCGGGCTGCCCGGGCGGGGCGGGCTGCGGGCGCCGCCGGGGCCGCTCGACACCGGCGCGCCCGCGCCAGCAGCGGGGGCCGCGTGCAGAGCGGCGCCCCTGCCGGCCCCTGCTTCCCCGTGGCGGGGGGGACCGGCTCTTTCCGGCAAGGGCGCCTTCCTGGCGCCCCCCCCCGCGCGCGGCCTCGCGGCGTTCTGCTCCTGTCCCCGGGGCCGCGGCCTCTCGCCAGTCAGGCCCGCCACGGCCAGCGCCGCCCCCCAGGCCTTGGCGGAACTCTTCTATAGCTCCCCCCTCACCCCTCGACGGGGTCGCACGCTGCGGGCGCCAACCCACGGGGCGCAGTCAGGGGCCCCGCGCCCAGCCGGCCCAGACTTGCCCAGAGTCTTCGGTGGCACCGCCGCCTGGCGGCCACCCGGCGACCGGCTAGAAGGACGCGCGCCCCTGGCCGGCGGCGTCGCCCCGCCGTCGCGGCCGTCGGCGCCGCCGTCCCCAAGCGCGCTGGCCGCGTC